GGCTCAACAGTTGCTAGCTCAGGAGTTCTCATAAACATGTCCCAACGTCGCCCTCTATTCCAGTCAAAAGCCTGAGTAGCGGTTAAACTGCGCTCTGGGATAATACCCTTATCCTTTCTTTGGATTGCCACCTCATACCTTTTTCAGGCTTATTCATTAACAAACCGGTTGTCAATATTCTTACCTTTACTCTTACCCTTGCCCGCGTATGGCTGTTTAACTCTCGGAGCCATTTTCACAATTTAGCTTCAATTCAAAATTATAACCCAAAAATTCAGACCTAGTTGTTCTACTCAGCCACTTCAATCCTGCACAAACAACCAACACTTCCAAAAATTCGTAATTCACCACCCAAAATTCAAATTTTCAACTCAACACAAACACTCCAAAAGTTCTAAACCCACACTCCTAACAATCAGTTAATGCACAAACTACTCTTCTTCAAATATAATCAATGCTCAAAATCTTACCCAAATTTCACAATTCAATCGCAACAACAATCTTCAGATCTACAAACTAACACTTGAAATTTTGCAATAAAAAGCTTTGGGTATTCGAGAGCTTACCAATATGAAGGAGTATTCATCACCAATTGAACCAGAAATAGCCCAGATCGAAAAACCCCAAATTTTGGATCCAAAAATTTTCGTGAAATTTTTGCGAAAATTGTTGTTGAAATGGGTTGTTTTGGTGTTTAGGAATGTTATGGAGTAAGAAAATTGGTTGGAATAACACTAGAAAAGCGTCGTCGCCGCGACGAAGAAGAAACTTCACCGCGGTGACGTTCTTCGTTTATGAACCCTAAAAATTTCCCAGGTTTCACCGCGGCGAAGAAATTTTCTTCGCCGGGGTGAAAACTTCCCGAGAGCACAAGGCTTACTTCGCCTCGGCGAAGAAACTTTCTTCGCCGCAGCGAAATGCCTTAGGAAAATTTTCACAAAAAATTTTTTCTTTCTTCGCCAAATCCTTCGCCGGGGCGAAATTGTCCAGTAGCTATCATCGTTTTTTCAAGGTCCCTTCGCCCCGGCGAAGAAGTATTCTTCACCGCGGCGAAGTCTAGGACTTTTTGATTCCTTTTCTCTAATGAAAACTTCACCTGAAACACCCATTCTTCACCACGGCGAAGTCTAGGACTTTTTAATTCCTTTTCTCTAATGAAAACTTCACCTGAAACACCCAAAAACACACACATTAAAACTCATACAAACTCAAAATGAAATCAAACAAATTCAAAACAAAACTAAAATGAAAAACAAAACAATTAAAGATACCTGGGTTGCCTCCCAAGAAGCGCTTATTTATAGTCGATAGCTCGACTCTCTCAATCCCTTAAGTTGGTGTTATAGTAGATGCCCTAGAGCCAATCAATTATTGTAGAATTGACTCTTTGTAATAATGTTCATTAATCAATAAAAGACATTTTATTCTATATCGCGTAAATCATTATTATTGCAATATGTATTGATATATGTCCTTAGAATGGTAGAGCCGTGACGAGGGTATCAAGTGTTCCGCGTCTGTATAGAAATGGTTCTTCCCAAAAGTTATACTTCAATCTGAGAAAAAATTTCTCTTTGTGATACGTCATACCACTGGGAGCACCCTTGACGACAAATAGTTTGCAAAATCTTCATACCATAGTGCTTCTTCCCACTCATCAACTTCTCATCCGGAAACGTTTCTGTAATTGGCATTTCTCCTCAATTCCCTTGCTTGGTTCTCGATTCTCGACAAGTGATCAGCCACCAAATTTTCCAACCCCTTACTCGAATTTCCAACGAATTCTGCAGTAGTAAAATCCATCTTATCAGCCGAGGTTTGCTTCTTGCTTTGCCAAAGGTGCTGGAGTGCTGAATGGTCCATGTAGACGATCACTTTGCACCTAACAAAATAAGAACGAAACTTGTCAAAAGCAAAAACTACAGCTAACAATTCTTTTTCAGTGGTGGTGTAATTCAATTGTGCATCACGAGTGTTTTACTGGCATACTGAATTACATGCAACACTTTGTTTTTCCTCTGTCCTAAAACTACCCCTAAAGCAAAGTCCCTAGCATACCACATCAGTTCGAAGGGTAGTCCCCATCGGGAACTGCAATAATAGGTGCAGATACTAATAATCTTTTCAGAGTTATAAAGGCGTGCATGCAATCATCGTTAAAGTAAAAAACAACATCTTTATTAATAAATTGCAAAGGGGTTTAAATCTTAGAAAAATCCTTGATGAAGGTCTGTAAAACCCGCATGCCCTAGGAAACTTCGAACTGCTTTGACATTTGATGGTGGTGGCAACTTCTCGATCACTTGTCTTTGCTCGATCAACTTCAATTCCATCCTTGGCCGTGAAGTGACACTTTTCCCAATTAAGCACCAGGTTCGTCTCCTCACACGCTGCAAAACAAAAGAAAGATTAGTTAGACAACTATCAAATGATAAACCAAAAACTGAGAAGTCATCCATGAAGACTTCTATAAACCGTTCCACCATGTCCCCAAAGATTGACATCATGCATTTTGAAATGTTTCTGGTGCATTGCATAACCAAAAGGCATCCTTCGGTAGGCAAAGGTGCGTAGGGGCAAGTGAAGGTCATTTTCTCTTGATCCTCAGGAGCGATGGCAATCTGATTATATCCTGAATACCCATCAGGAAACAATAATAGGCATGTCCTGCCAACCTTTCCAACATCTGATCAATGAAAGGTAATGGAAAGTGATCCTTCATTGTCGCCTCATTCAACTTACGGTAATCAAGTACTCTCTAGCCTGTCACCGTCCTTGTTGGTATCAACTCATTACTCTCATTTTTCACCACAGTGATACTCCTTTCTTCGGAACCACTTGTACCGGGCTCACCCAGGGCTATCGAAAATAGGATAAATGATCCCCGCATCTAAGAGTTTTACCACTTCCTTTCTCACCACTTCCTTCATCGAAGGATTCAATCTTCGTGTTGGTTGTACCCTAGGCTTAAAATCATCCTCCATGAGTATCTTATGCATGCAAAATGTGGCGAGATACCTCTAATGTCCGAGATTGTCCATAAATTGCTAGCCTATGTTCCCTCAACACCCTAATCAACCCTCCTCTAATGTACTCAAATCAAACTAATAATCACCAGAAAAGTTTCTGAGTCTCCTAGATAAGCATATTTGGTTGGAAGGTAAAGGTTTCAATTCAAGCTTTGGAGGTTCTTCATTTTTCTCTTCTCCTTCTCTTTGTCAAAATCAAACTCCTCAAATTCTACAGCCTAACTCTCATCAATCGGTTGAAGTGCTTCTAACATCCTAGCACAATCATTCCTCTCTGACTCTTCTACCTCTACTATTTTTGATTTGGCTATACAAGCTTCTAGAGGTAACGTGGGGTGTTTTCTTCCATGGATTCCTCAACCAATTTGTCCACCATATCTACACTAAAACATGAATCATTCAGTCGGAAACATCATCGCCTCAAAGACATTAAAGTCACTATTTCATCTGAACCTCAACAGTAACTTTCATTCCTGTACATAGTTAGTGCTCTCCCGTGGCAAGAATGGTGGCCCCAAATTAGAGGAATTTCCTTATCCTCTTCCATGTCCAACACCACAAAATCTGCTGGAAAAATTATCTTCCCCACCCTCACCAACACATCCTTAACTATCCCCCTCGGATGTTTTATTGATCTATCGCTAGTTGCAACGACATGGTCGTTGGCTTTACCTCATCAATTCCAATCTCCTGAAAACAGAAAAGGGCATCAATTAATACTAGCCCTAGATCACACAAAACACGATCAAATGTAATATTTCCTATAATACAAGGAATAGTAAAACTCTGGATCTTTGAGCTTTGGAGGTAACTTTTCTGGAGGATGGCACTACACCTCCGTGAGCATCACCGTTTCCTCATCGTCTAGCTTCCTTTGTTCGATAAGATCTCCTTGAGGAATTTTGCATAGTTCGGCATCTGCTGCAATGCACTGCAAAAGGAATATTAATGTGCATTTTTTAAAAATTTAATAAACTTTAAAATTGCTTATCCTAGTTCTTTTTCTTCAATCTCTGAGGAAAAGGCACGGGTGGAGTGTGATATGCCAACTCTGGTGGTATCTCGGGAATGGCAATTTTCCTTCTTCTTTTGCCTTTCATTCTGTTTCTTTTCTTCTCCTCCAAACCACTTGGTTTCTCTTCAGCAACTATCTCTTCATCATTTCCTCATCCGACTCTTCCTTTCCGGGTTGCTCACCTTCTTGGTAGCTCGTTACTCTTCCAAAACTGTCCACTTCTTAAAGTGATGGCGTTGCTTGCTACGTGGGTTGGTCACTGTATTGCTTGGTAAGGAACCTGCGGTCTCTCATTCAATTTGTCGGCCAATTGGCCCACTGTACCTTAAGACTCCAATGGACGCCTCTTGATTTCTAAAATTCATCCTCGTCTCACTTATAAATCAATGGTCTCCTGTATGAATTTCCCAAACATATCTTCCAACTTTGTCACTCTTGGATCTCGGTTGGTTATTTGAACGTTCCTTTGGTTCCATTGGTTATTTTGCTGGTTTGATTTCCCTAGCTAGTTCGGATGATTTCTCCACCCCGGTTGTATGTGTTGGAGTATGGTTGTTGGTTGTCTCTGATTACCTGCCAGTAGTTCACTTGCTCGTTGATGAAGAGACGAAGCAAATGTGTTCCTAACTTAACACTCGCTACTCACATGGTTCCCTACACAAAAATCACACGTTAGTTGAGGTGCTTGAATAGAGTTTACCTAGTAGTTCCCAACTGTTTCTGAAGTGCCGTGAGTTGGGCTGAGATGGCTGTGAATGCATCACTTCATGAAGACCCGAAGATTTCCTGTTGTGGCTCTCTTATTTGGTCTTTGATAGTTGTTGCTTGTAGAACCTCAAGCAACTCATAGGCCTCTTTTGGTGTCTTATACAAGGCCCCCCTGAAGCTGCATCCACCATGGTTTGTACATCACTATCAATCCATTGTAGAACGTTTGGACTTGAAGCCAAACTGGTAAACCATGGTGTGGGCATTTCCTCATTAACTCCTTGTATCTCTCCCAAGCCTCATACAAGACTCGAAATCTCCTGTAGAAATGATGTGATCATTTTCCAATTTTGCTGATTTAGCTGGAGGAAAGAACTTGTAAGGAATTTCTATGCTAGATCATTCCAGTGTATAGTTCCGGTGGTAATGCCATTAACCACCCCTTGGCTTTATCTCCCAATGAATGGGAATAATCGCAGCCTAATAGCGTCACGACACTCCATTTGACTTAAAGGTGTCACAAATTTCCAAGAAATTTGCAGTGCTGATTCGGATCTTCCTTCAAGTCACCATTGAACCTAAAAACTGCTGGATCATCTGGATGATAGCCGGTTGATCTCAAAGTTGTTTGCTTGCACGTAGGTTAGTAATGCTCGACCACTACCATTCACTGTGGGAACTGAAAATTCCCTTGGTCTGTTTTTTGGTTTAGCCATTTCAACAACTTTCTTCTGCTTCTACAACTAAATCCTCTCTTCTCTTTCTCTCTGTTACGTCTTCTAATGGTCCTCTTAAGCTCAAGGTCAATAGGGATCACTAGTTGAGTCTCGTTCTTTGCATAAACTGCAAAACAGAAATGAAGGAAAGTCAGATCACAAATTACTGAAAATAAAAACAAAAATAAAAACTCCAATCTAGCTAACTATAGAAAGACTCAATGTTAACTAAAACTATCCTTGGCACGGCGCCAAAAACTTGATGCGTGTTTCCTATAACATGCAAAAATAGCAGTATACTAATGCACCAGTAATATAATGATGAGTAGAGATGTTCCCACCAGGATTGTTGCTAACCACTAAGTATTCTACTGTTCTTAAGTTGGCGTAATCGAAATCTTTGGATTGATGGGAGCTATATAACTAATCGAACAATAACTATTAAACTAAATTAACTAAAGATTGCAAGATAAAATTTCAGAAAATCAATTCAAGTAAAAGGGTAAGGTTTTGACTTCATTCGGATTTTATGGGTTAACCTAAAAATTACCTACATTCACATTCATATGCATTGATGTAAACCGAACTCATAAGGTGTTAACATACCTTCTTAGGCTATGTTCCTATTCTTCCTTTTAACCTTCGCACCAACAATTTGAAGTTAACAATTCCAAACTCATTAAGCATAAGATCATAATGATTTCATTAATTCTGAATCTATCTCTAGCATCCAATACTAATGGTGATTACCCAGAAGCCTAACATGATTCATTTCTCAATCTCCATGTCATCACATAAAGCATTAAAAATCAGAGTAAACACACAATCAAACATAGTATATGAATTAAATGATCAATAATTAACCCATTAGAAATCCGAATTACAATCAAAACCCTAACCAAAATGAGTTAGTTCATAGCTAAATTAACATCAATTAAGAAAAACGAAAATAATCAAGTTCAACATAATGAAAAGTAAGAGAGAGGATAAGAAATCTCCCCATGATGAATCCTTTGGTCAAAATCAGATCTTCACCCTTTAATGCTAAAAATCTCTAAGCTTAATCCAAAAATAATGTAAAGTTGTAACCCATTCCTGCACGACCCCTGGGCAAAAAGGTTAGTTTTTCTTTATACCTCGCCCTAATTTCTAAGAAAAACACTCACAACTAAACTGTGCGTTTTACAAAACTAAAATTACGATGTCACCGCGACGGAAGAAGAAACGTCGCGCGGCGAAGAAAGCCTCAGACTTGTTCGTGTCTGCGTAATCGTCTGGCGAAGGACAATTCTTCGGGGGCGAAGCTACTTGAAAGGTTCTGAATTTACAGAATTGCCACTCTCTTGCTCGCTTTCTTCTTCGATTCTTGGTGCTCTTCCTTGGAACAAGCCTCATCGTGCTTTGTCCTGCGTCAGAACTCTTCTAACTTCTGAGATCCGCTACTTCTGAGTCAAAACTTCCAATTTGCCTTATTTGCCTAAAATGTCCATTTTAACGAAACACAAAATGTAAAGAAATTAACAACCATTCAGGTCAAAATGCAACAAAAAGTACTGAAATCAACAAAAAGACGAATGAAAAATGTATAATCCACGGATTATCACTCAAACCTAAGCAATCTCTCTTCCTCCTCTATGGTTAGGTCTGAAGCTATAATCACAGGAAGGGTTTGATCTTTTCCTAAGTAAGCATACTAAGGGTAGGTGGTAAGGGTTTAAACTCAAGCTTAAGTGGGGATTCAATGAAGAAACTAACTTGGCATCAAAATGTTCAATCGCCATCCCCAATTCCTATCAGACATGTCCTAATCTCACTATCCCACTTTGCCACATACTCCCTACCCTCATCATCACTCAACTCACCATCCTTATGTCAAAGCCAACTTGTTTATCTTTAGTCTCCCCTGGAAAAACTAGACATAATGATAGGATCCAAAGAATCAACTACAAAACATTATTAGTATCTAGAGGTAAAGACATATAATTGAAAACTGAAAAATTCAACGGTTTGATCAAGAACTGTCATTTAGCTTTCCATTTTGACATCGATGATGGTCTTTATTGTGGCCATGAAGGGTGTCCTAGCAAATAGGCAACTCACTGTTATGCCCTAAAGTCTGCTCCATATCTAATACCACAAAATCAATAGGAACAATTAGTTTGTCAACTTGAACTAAAATATTTCAACAATACCTCTTGGATATTTTACTGATCGATCTACCAACCAAGGTCAATGTTGTAGGTTTTAGTTCTCCCAGTCCCAATTGCTGATAGATGGAATATGGCATGAGGTTGATATTTGCACCCAAATCCAACATGCTCTTTCTTCTTTCTTGTTACAATAGTGTGTTGATAACAAAGCTCCTCGGACCTTTCGGCTTGGGTGGTAACTTGCATTGGAGCACTACACTCACAGTTTTAAAATCATCACTTTCTCGCGAGGCTCATACTTATGCTGTGGGTGTTCAACTCCTTGAAGAATTTCGCAAAGCTGGCATGTTCTTAATCAATCAAGCAAGGGTAAGTTCACATTAATTTTGATAAGATGTCATTTATGTTAGAAAATGACTTATCCCATTTTCTTTTAATCAAGCATCCTAGAAAAGGCACGAGTGGAAATAAGGCTTCAATGGCACATATTGATCTTCAATTACTCATTTTGCATGGGTGCACTCGGTTGCTTCCCTATTTCTTTTTACCTGCAAAATCAGACAAGGGCTATTAGTTTCAGAATTGATATCCTTGTAATTACCTACCCTCCTAAAAAATGTGACCACTTTCGCTTGCTCAGATTGGCTTGGTAACTCCCATGAACATGGCCTTGTATGACTCCGCAATTTGGCCTATCTAGACCTCCATCTTCCTTATGGATGCATCCTGTTGTTGGAATATCTATTCAAAGTTTTGATTGCTCTTTTGAGAAGCTTGAATGAAAATGTCAATGTCTCCTCTAATGATGGCTTCTTTGGTTGCATGATGTGTGACAAAACTTCCTTGCGGCGGTTGTTTCTCCATGAAAAGTTTGGATGGTTCTTCCACCTAGGATTGTATGTGTTTGAATATAGATTGTGGGTGGTCTTGGTTGTAAGAGTTCAATAACTTCACTCCTCGACAACTACACCAAAAACTTGTTTGGTTAAAAACAACTTTATTCCTTTGCAAGTGCACGAGGTCGGTATTGTAGTAAAGTGCATAAGTAAGGGTGATCCATAGAGAGTTGAGTTATCAATTAATCTATAATTGTGCAAAAAGAACTAAAATAATGAAATCAAGTGAGATAATAAAATACCCAACAACTTATAAAATCAAATTAACTAAAATTAAGTAAGATAACAAAAATACTAAAAATAACAACTAAGATAAAAACGAGATCTAAACAAATGATAAAACAATGAAAATGGTTAGTGTATCCAATCACCATAATTATCCTATTTTATGTATTAATCTAACCGATGTTTCTTGATCCAAATCTTAGGGTCGATACTTACCAAGGTAGTTCGTGCTGTGGCCAACCGGATCAAATTGTGTTTCATCATCCAAACTAGCTAGTGGTCTGTAGCCTAGTCTAATTAACAAAAACCCATTATGCATAAAAGTACAAAAAATGAACACAAAAACCAACTTACACCTGTTTATGGCATCACAAACATAAATCAATCGTTATCAGAGCAATCTGATTAGCTAGTGGTGTATGCCTAACCTAATCATATAGTCAATCAATCAACTATTAAACACGATCAGACATCAACAATGATCAAAGATCAAGAGATGTTCAAGATTGAGTAGGGCATATAGCCTAACCTTGATCATACAACCATCAACCATAAAACAAAGGCAATCACACATAATAATGATTAATCAACTCAATAAATATAATGAACGAAACCAAGATACCATTGGGTCAATTAACATTCGATTAAATAATAAACATAAAGTAGTCTAATTAGATACATTGGATACACTAGGAAAGAGTTTAGACTCATAAATCAAAGAAAACAACCTTGATCTCACCCTTCACATTTGGATGCAAGATCAACTCAAGATGATCAAGGTTTAGCTTACAAATCAATCACTCTTTCAATCCTCAAAAGATGCAAAGGCATTTTATAAAACCTAATAATCATGAAAATTGGACTAAAGTTGCCTTATATAGTTTTTAGGCAAAATTGCAAAATTGCAAAATTGGAAATATTGGTTGCCAAATTAGGGTTGAAAATGCAGAGTTTTTCCAAATATCGCGATTTGCACCATGGCGCTTTTGAATTGCGCTGTGGCACGGCTCCAGGCAATTTTTCCTTCAACCAAAATCCTATCATGCTATGGCATGGATGAATTATGCCGCGACATAATTGGATTTTGTCGACTTTGTGTTGCGATGCGATTATTTCGTGTGGGGCGCAATATGAGTTGCATCATCTTAACGCCGCGGCGCAAAAAAGTGTGCTGTAGCTCAATTGCAAAATTTTACTCTTTTTCCATTCACCTTGATTTCCGCACTCGATGGGTCCAGGATGTTACTACACAAACACAAGCACGAATAATCTATCTTTTCACCTGAATACCTAAAAAACACAACAAACCCCATGATTTTGGAAGATAACAAAACAAATAAGGAAGCTCATCCTAAATAATGTGTT